TAAAAAGCTTCTAGCAAACATTTTAATGCTGCGTTTTGCGCAATTTGGCAACGACGTAAGCGCTGGAAAAAGCTTAAATCGCAAACGTATGCACTATTGTACACACAGCGGGGTCGTCTCCTCAGAGCTCGCGTCGTAACCGGTGTCCGAGATCGACATCGCCTCACTGTGGCCGTCTACGGTAGCGCCGTTCTCTGGTGTGGCAACAGCAGCAGCAGCAGTAGTACCAAAGTTCCCCTCCATCGTCTTTCAGTAACAATGACTTCCCTTTCTGCAGCACACGCTTTATGAATCCTCACATTGCCTATGAAAATTTGCATAATCAACGTTTAGCTGGAGCGCAGTTCACTAAAACTCAACTTAGGTACTTAAAAAACTTTCATGTTTGTGCGTTTTGGCATATATGCAAATGCAAAAACACACATTGCGACGACCCATGGTGCATGTATATTTGTGTGTATGACTGTGTGTGAATGCATATGCGAATGTGATGTGCCTATCCGGATATTTCAACTCGACAACCAAGCAAATTTCGACGCTGAAATTTTGTCAGTTGGTTTCCTGGCCAAGGGCCGCCTAGGAAGCGCAGCACCAACCCTCATACACGTCTGAGATCTCGGATGCGAGCAGCATCTCGTTAATTTCACGAATTTCGTCCAGGAAGATAACATGCTGTTTAAATCATTTTTTCAATTCAAATCGCAAAAAATCGATTTTTCAAAATCTGTCACGAGAAATTCAACTCGCATTATAATAACAACATTACCTTTTATCACTCTTGTAGCAGTGCTTTGTCTCTTTGTTGACTGTGATTTGTAATTTGTACAGCAACCATATTTATTTCTTTAGATACAAGATGGCAGCAAGACGTGTGTTCTCTCGCGGAAGCGTCACAGTCGACGAGGAAGAAGATCAGGCAATGGATTATTAAAGTTAATTAGAGCCTGGCAGAATTTCTTTCGGAATTCTACTGAATCTCAAAAAAAATTCACTGCCTTTAAAATTCAGAGAAGCAGAATGATTGACAAATTTTGGATTCTTTAAATGCGATGTGATTTTGATAGTTCAGCACTCAAAAAGATTTTCGCGAAGTTGGATGGAAGTCAACAATAATTCATGGAGAAAACTGAAGAAATTGTGGCAATCGAAACAGAAGAAAAGACGGCGGCGTGCTAAGCCGCGAGCTATCGACCCAGCTGAAGTGGAAAAAGCAAGGAAGGAAATGATGGACAGGATCAATGAAGTTCGCTTTTGAATTCATTCATCTATTCTTTGATTTTTCACACTTTTTAAAGAAACTCTTACCCCCATCGTCATCTACTATTGCTATACTGGTTGGCAGTGCGAGGTTTGTTTCTTCCTAAGTCGTATGTAGATTTCTGCTGTATTTTTTCCTGTATTTTTTCCTTCAGAAAAAGATAAAGTTTGCAAATCTCTTTTTTTTTTTTTTTTTTTTTAATTATAAATGGAGAGCGAAACATCGTCATTAAGTTCTGACTGATTGTGGCCAGTCAATAGTTTTCGACTTTTTCATTGCACAATATTTCATTGTCATCGACTAGGCCTCGCAGTATGCACTCGTTTTTGGGTCCAGGTTCAACCTGCAAAAATCGTGGTACCGGGTTTTTTGTCCAAGTAAGTTTCTAAGTGTTGCGTTTAAGACTGTCAACTTCCCTCAGTATCAAGTTCCAGACGAGCATAAAAAAATCTATATGAGCAACTCCTACATGAATTCCGTCGCCGTTTTCAGTTCTTGCTCAGCTCCTTTGTAGCCAAAAAACCCCATCCCTTTCTCACCAATCGCAGCTTCCGGTCCTCCTGAGTGTTTCTGATCATTCCCGATACTTAGCCTTAAGCTTCTAAAGAGCCAGAAAGAGGGATTGCAAATGCTTTCCTTTTATTATTTTATAAAGCTTTGCTGTGAATACTTCTTTAGACTGTGTCTTTCATTAGTGAGCTGTTTCAACTTCTTAAAATTGATTTCGAATTCCTCTTTCAGATCAAAGAAGCACAGGAATACGAACTTATCATTGAAACGTATGGCCCTGGGAGTGGTAAGTAAATTGTTCAGACTATAGCACCAGTACAGTTTGCAATAACACAGTAATTTCACAGCGATCATCGATCAGATCACAGTTTATCGAATTGAAGATTTTGCTTAGTAGTGCAGCGGGAAGAGATACGCAGAGGGAATTCGATTTGAACACAGAGAAACACTGTTTGGCAGTTGAAGCTGCTATTATTCTTCGGCCACTGTGGGCTTGGCAGAAGCGGAGGTAGGGGTGTTCTACAAGGGTATATAAACTGTCTGTGCTCCCGAAGTTAACGACACGGCTCTCACGCGATAACATTTTTAAGGATTTGAAGAAAATGATAACCGACTGAAAGAAAATGATGCAAAAGAAAGGGATTCGAAAGTAGAATCTTCTTGGACGGAGGTTGTCGAAGACAGTTCTGTTGAACGGGAAATTGAAGTGGATTGGGATTTTCTTGAACTTTTCAAGCCAGTCACATTCGTATGTTTTTATTTCCGCTTTCTTCGTAAGTTTCCTCTAATGTGCTTTGATCTCACGCTTGTCATATCGCATTTCGAATGGATCGGTCTAATGAGCGGCCCACGCAGTACACTAGGGATTGTACAAATGCTTTCGATATAGGTTCTTGTTTTCGAATCATAGCAAGCTGTTGTTGGATCAAGTTGCACTTTTACTCTGGTTCAAGCCCTTTTTTTGGAAACGACTCGATTTCGAATGGGAAAAGAGTTCTACTGAATCTGCGAAGCTAGTGTAGAAATCCATCAGTATTTATCCCATGGCATCTAAAGATTATATAAGTTAGACGAACAAAAGTTAGCTTAGCTATTCCCTACAGATGAAAATCGCTCAGCGTTCGGGTGTGTGCGCCAAAAAAGCAGACCTTAAACGGACAGTTGTGGTGAGTTGGCTTTGTAGATGCTAGAATCGTGGCTTTTCGGTGTGTTCAATTTTGAGCAATTACTAAAATT